GTGCAGATGTGTGTGTGCAGATGTGTGTGTGCAGATGTGTGTGTGAAGATGTGTGTGTGTGCAGATGTGTGTGTACAGATGTGTGTGGACAGATGTGTGTGGACAGATGTGTGTGTGCAGATGTGTGTGTGCAGATGTGTGTGTGTGCAGATGTGTGTGTACCGATGTGTGTGTACAGATGTGTGTGTACAGATGTGTGTGTACAGATGTGTGCGTACAGATGTGTGCGTGCAGATGTGTGCGTGCAGATGTGTTTGTACAGATGTGTGTGTGCAGATGTGTGTGTGCAGATGTGTGTGTGTGCAGATGTGTGTGTACATATGTGTGTGTGCAGATGTGTGTGTGCAGATGTGTATGTGCAGATGTGTGTGCGTGCAGATGTGTGTGCGTGCAGATGTGTGTGTACAGATGTGTGTACAGATGTGTGTGTACAGATGTGTGTGTGTAGATGTGTGTGTACAGATGTGTGTGTACAGATGTGTGTGTGTACAGATGTGTGTGTGCAGATGTGTGTGTGCAGATGTGTGTGTGCAGATGTGTGTGTGAAGATGTGTGTGTGTGCAGATGTGTGTGTACAGATGTGTGTGTACAGATGTGTGTGTACAGATGTGTGTGGACAGATGTGTGTGTGCAGATGTGTGTGTGCAGATGTGTGTGTGCAGATGTGTGTGTACAGATGTGTGTGTACAGATGTGTGTGTACAGATGTGTGTGTACAGATGTGTGTGTGCAGATGTGTGTGTACAGATGTGTGTGTGCAGATGTGTGTGTGCAGATGTGTGTGTGCAGATGTGTGTGTGCAGATGTGTGTGTGCAGATGTGTGTGTGCAGATGTGTGTGCGTGCAGATGTGTGTGTACAGATGTGTGTGTACAGATGTGTGTGTGTGTACAGATGTGTGTGCAGATGTGTGTGTGCAGATGTGTGTGTGCAGATGTGTGTGTGAAGATGTGTGTGTGTGCAGATGTGTGTGTACAGATGTGTGTGGACAGATGTGTGTGGACAGATGTGTGTGTGCAGATGTGTGTGTGCAGATGTGTGTGTGTGCAGATGTGTGTGTACCGATGTGTGTGTACAGATGTGTGTGTACAGATGTGTGTGTACAGATGTGTGTGTACAGATGTGTGTGTACAGATGTGTGTGTACAGATGTGTGTGTACAGATGTGTGTGTGCAGATGTGTGTGTACAGATGTGTGTGTGCAGATGTGTGTGTGCAGATGTGTGTGTGCAGATGTGTGTGTGAAGATGTGTGTGTGTGTGTGTGTGCAGATGTGTGTGTACAGATGTGTGTGGACAGATGTGTGTGGACAGATGTGTGTGTGCAGATGTGTGTGTGCAGATGTGTGTGTGCAGATGTGTGTGTGTGCAGATGTGTGTGTACCGATGTGTGTGTACAGATGTGTGTGTACAGATGTGTGTGTGCAGATGTGTGTGTACAGATGTGTGTGTACAGATGTGTGTGTGCAGATGTGTGTGTACAGATGTGTGTGTGTACAGATGTGTGTGTGCAGATGTGTGTGTGAAGATGTGTGTGTGTGCAGATGTGTGTGTACAGATGTGTGTGGACAGATGTGTGTGCAGATGTGTGTGTGCAGATGTGTGTGTGCAGATGTGTGTGTACAGATGTGTGTGTACATATGTGTGTGTACAGATGTGTGTGTGCAGATGTGTGTGTACAGATGTGTGTGTACAGATGTGTGTGTGCAGATGTGTGTTTGTGCAGATGTGTGTGTACAGATGTGTGTGTGCAGATGTGTGTGTGTGTGTGCAGATGTGTGTGTTCAGATGTGTGTGTACAGATGTGTGTGTGGAGATGTGTGTGTGTGTGTGTGCAGATGTGTGTGTACAGATGTGTGTGTGTACAGATGTGTGTGTGCAGATGTGTGTGTGCAGATGTGTATGTGCAGATGTGTGTGCAGATGTGTGTGCGTGCAGATGTGTGTGTACAGATGTGTGTGTACAGATGTGTGTGTGCAGATGTGTGTGTACAGATGTGTGTGTGTACAGATGTGTGTGTACAGATGTGTGTGTGCAGATGTGTGTGTACAGATGTGTGTGTGCAGATGTGTGTGTGCAGATGTGTGTACAGATGTGTGTGTGTACAGATGTGTGTGTGAAGATGTGTGTGTGTGCAGATGTGTGTGTACAGATGTGTGTGGACAGATGTGTGTGCAGATGTGTGTGTGCAGATGTGTGTGTGCAGATGTGTGTGTGCAGATGTGTGTGTACAGATGTGTGTGTACAGATGTGTGTGTACAGATGTGTGTGTACAGATGTGTGCGTGCAGATGTGTGTGTGCAGATGTGTGTGTGCAGATGTGTGTGTGCAGATGTGTGTGTGCAGATGTGTGTGTGCAGATGTGTGTGTACAGATGTGTGTGTACAGATGTGTGTGTACAGATGTGTGTGCGTGCAGATGTGTGTGCGTGCAGATGTGTGTGTACAGATGTGTGTGTACAGATGTGTGTGTGCAGATGTGTGTGTGTGCAGATGTGTGTGTACAGATGTGTGTGTGCAGATGTGTGTGTACAGATGTGTGTGTGCAGATTTGTGTGTGCAGATGTGTATGTGCAGATGTGTGTGCGTGCAGATGTGTGTGCGTGCAGATGTGTGTGTACAGATGTGAGTGTACAGATGTGTGTGTGCAGATGTGTGTGTACAGATGTGTGTGTGTACAGATGTGTGTGTGCAGATGTGTGTGTGCAGATGTGTGTGTACAGATGTGTGTACAAATGTGTGTGTGTACAGATGTGTGTGTGCAGATGTGTGTGTGCAGATGTGTGTGTGAAGATGTGTGTGTGTGCAGATGTGTGTGTACAGATGTGTGTGGACAGATGTGTGTGGACAGATGTGTGTGTGCAGATGTGTGTGTGCAGATGTGTGTGTGTGCAGATGTGTGTGTACCGATGTGTGTGTACAGATGTGTGTGTACAGATGTGTGTGTACAGATGTGTGCGTGCAGATGTGTGCGTGCAGATGTGTTTGTACAGATGTGTGTGTGCAGATGTGTGTGTGCAGATGTGTGTGTGTGCAGATGTGTGTGTACATATGTGTGTGTGCAGATGTGTGTGTGCAGATGTGTATGTGCAGATGTGTGTGCGTGCAGATGTGTGTGCGTGCAGATGTGTGTGTACAGATGTGTGTACAGATGTGTGTGTACAGATGTGTGTGTGTAGATGTGTGTGTACAGATGTGTGTGTACAGATGTGTGTGTGTACAGATGTGTGTGTGCAGATGTGTGTGTGCAGATGTGTGTGTGCAGATGTGTGTGTGAAGATGTGTGTGTGTGCAGATGTGTGTGTACAGATGTGTGTGTACAGATGTGTGTGTACAGATGTGTGTGGACAGATGTGTGTGTGCAGATGTGTGTGTGCAGATGTGTGTGTACCGATGTGTGTGTACAGATGTGTGTGTACAGATGTGTGTGTACAGATGTGTGTGTACAGATGTGTGCGTGCAGATGTGTGTGTACAGATGTGTGTGTACAGATGTGTGTGTGCAGATGTGTGTGTGCAGATGTGTGTGTGCAGATGTGTGTGTGTGCAGATGTGTGTGTGCAGATGTGTGTGCAGATGTGTGTGCGTGCAGATGTGTGTGTACAGATGTGTGTGTACAGATGTGTGTGTGTGTACAGATGTGTGTGCAGATGTGTGTGTGCAGATGTGTGTGTGCAGATGTGTGTGTGAAGATGTGTGTGTGTGCAGATGTGTGTGTACAGATGTGTGTGGACAGATGTGTGTGGACAGATGTGTGTGTGCAGATGTGTGTGTGCAGATGTGTGTGTGTGCAGATGTGTGTGTACCGATGTGTGTGTACAGATGTGTGTGTACAGATGTGTGTGTACAGATGTGTGCGTGCAGATGTGTGTGTACAGATGTGTGTGTACAGATGTGTGCGTGCAGATGTGTGTGTACAGATGTGTGTGTACAGATGTGTGTGTGCAGATGTGTGTGTGCAGATGTGTGTGTGCAGATGTGTGTGTGCAGATGTGTGTGTGCAGATGTGTGTGCGTGCAGATGTGTGTGCGTGCAGATGTGTGTGCGTGCAGATGTGTGTGTACAGATGTGTGTGTACAGATGTGTGTGTACAGATGTGTGTGTACAGATGTGTGTGTACAGATGTGTGTGTGCAGATGTGTGTGTGTACAGATGTGTGTGTGTACAGATGTGTGTGTGTACAGTTGTGTGTGGACAGATTTGTGTGTACAGATGTGTGTGTGTGGACAGATGTGTGGGTGTAGATGTGTGTGTGTACAGATGTGTGTGTGTACAGTTGTGTGTGGACAGATTTGTGTGTACAGATGTGTGTGTGTGGACAGATGTGTGGGTGTAGATGTGTGTGTGTACAGATGTGTGTGTGTACAGATGTGACGTAATGACGCAAAGACATGCTCGAATCTCCCGCTGAAATCCACCAGTACCACTGGAATTAAAAACATTATTACAAGCTTACCGCTTTGAATCGAGCTACGGCAAGCAGAGAGTTTTGAACAACTGCAGCTTTAAATAAATAATTGGTTAGTCAAATAGTAAATTCTTATAGTGAAAAAAAATATATAACTGTAAATTTTAGATGAAATGAACTGTTGGATCAATTATTTTTGTATGTTTAACTCAAACAATCAAATAAATGATATTCAGAGATTTTATTAAGTTAATAAAGTTAAATATTACTGTGATATTTACTAAGCCACATAATAATTACACAGAGTAGATAAACCGAACACATACAAATGTGAGCAATAGGGAAACCCAGCACTGTAGACTAGAAAGACACAAACAGAGGAAGAGAGATTATCTTACAAACAAATCATGAATGTGAAGAATTTTACACAGATATAATGTGAACTCAGACTCACTGTGAGATATTAAGAATAAAGTGTTTTAGTTTAAAAAAAAAACAGAAAGTGCACTGCTATAACCAATGAAACATAAGCCCTGCTGTCTTCAAATAAATAAACTTCAGTCACACTGTAATTGCTGTACAGTATAATGACACTAACTGTAGTTTCTCCAGCTTGAATTGTGGGTTCATCAGTAGATCACTGAGGTTTTTCACTCCAGAGTCTCCTAGTTTAGTCCTGCTCAGGTCCAGCTCTCTCAGGTGTGACGGGTTTGATTTCAGAGCTGAAGTCAGGATGAGACTCTGTTTCTCTGTAATACTGCATCTATTCAGACTGAAGACAGAGAAATAACAATAGTTCACATCTATGATGATCATCTTATTGAAGAGCTACAGCAGCATTTAGTTTCCAATAGTCTGTTTTAAAACCCAGTCACACTAGTTCTGTCAGTCAGTACCGTGATCCTCAACTACAAGTTCATTGGTGAATTCCTCCTCCTCGTCGCTCTCCTCCACTTCTCCCTCTCCGGCCTCCGCTAACTCCTCCTGCCTCGCTTGCGCTAACAGCTCCGCCCAGATGCGCAGGGCTCTCTTGTGTGCGCAATCTGCACCATACCGAACTGGCTTAAACAGACGATCTGACGGGTTTTAGAAGATTAAATACAACCCGAAACTAAAAAACAGACCAGGCCTCTATTTGAGACCGGCCTTTATTTATCCAAACCTGTCGCTATTTCCTATTTAGATCCTATTTATTTTGCATAAACATGAAGCTGGAGCTGCAAAATACATGAATTACACTTACGAATACGATTAAAATGCTGGAAATGTTTTTTTCTTACAGTTGAAAGGCGATTTACACTTTTACAAATCTTATCCTGCGCATGCGATTCTTTACGACATCATAATACCTTCATACACAAGGCCCTATTAAATATATTTCCATAATAGTATTATTGTATAAATATACATTTGTATACTTCGAATGTGTTTGAATATTTCACCAGTATCAGCACTGGGACTTGTCACTGTATTACTCCACTTGTCTGTGTTTGTGCAACTTGCATCTGTAAGCCAGTAGGGGGCGACACGTGACTGTCTTTATGAGTGAGCAATTACACCATTAATTGAACTGATTAGTCCAAAAACATTGATTAATTCAGGAAATAAACAAGTTGCTGAAACTGATCTTTGATGCTCATACATATTGCTCATATGCCTCTGGACACAGAAGGATTGCATTGGCATTTGACTGAAATTTAACATCTAAGCAAAATTATCATTGAATCATTTCTCATTCCTGTTTGGAATAAGTGATTGTGTTCGTCAACAATAAGCATAACATTTCTGCATTTCAATTTTGTAGTGTGGATCATCATTGCAACATTTAACCTGATTCTCATGTTTAAGAATCTGTTTTCTGCTTGACAAATAATTTATGCTACTGCCCACTGACATGCTTTTAAAGCTATTGATATCCAATTGTGTTGTCCTTCAAACACCTTAAATTGCACATGTGAAGATCAGGAAAATCTAAATTTCCCCCGAACCCCCCTAGCAACATCAATTTTGGGACCTCAGTTTTTATAAAAGCCTGCGTACGGCTCTGCCTTCATGTGACCATTGTCCTCTGTCTGGCTGTGTTCCCTGTAACTGCTGTTGGTGACGTTCATGTTTCTCAGTCAAGTCTTTGTTTTTGTAGTTTTGTTCACGTTTATTTGAATAAAGCTGCACTTGCGTTCAGTAGTGATGGGAGAAACAAAGCTTTTCAAAGCTTCAAATCAGTTAAACCAATTTCTTCTCAAAATGATTCACTGTTTTGAAGCGTTAGTCTAAGCGTGCAAGCGTGTAGTTTCGAAACGACACACACTGGCCAAAAACTGCATAAAAACACCTTCTACAAACCCATTACAAATGTTTTATTGAAAGTACAATCTATCAAATGCAATTATCTAATAATCTAATATGATTAAATATCAAGTGTCTGTATAATATGTGCTCTTTTATCAATTTCCAGTGCTTGTTTTCTTTGGATGGCTCAGCTAAACAGGCCAATAAGAGACTATTAACTACTATTATTCCTTTTAATTATACAAATATTAATTAAATCTAATTCTAATTAAAACATCTACAAATGTATAAAACTGATCAGAGATCAGGTTAAACCCACAGACACTTGTTCAATCTCAGTAAATCTGCATGATTCATGGGTTCACAGAGATCATCTTCCCCCAGCGGTGAACCACTGACATTTCCAAATGTTTTGAAACAGTTATGACGTAACTAATCCTCGTTTCCTGAAATCATGTGACTTTGGCAGTTTGATACACGCTCCGAACCACTGATTCAAAACAAAAGATTCAGAAAGGTTTCGTATCTTCATGAAGCGTGTTTCGAAAGCGCCCATCACTAGCGTTCAGTGGATCTTATTACAGGCAGATACTGATCACAGACTTTTAAAATGCACTTGTTCAATTTTTACAAGTTACAGTATATGCTGCACTAAAATTAGAAATTTTACATTTTGGGAAAAACAAACATTGAATTGAAAGCAGTTATGAATATTTCTGATTCTGATGTCACAAAAAACATTGTTCTGCCTCTACAGAAACTGAAATAATTATTGACCCATGATCCAACTGTCTGTCTTAACCAAATATTTAAAGCTTGATATCACGTTTTAATTGTGTATTTTTAATTTGCTGTTTAATTTTATTACTTTAAATTGTTGTGGCTCTGTGTGATGCTGAGGAAAAAACTGCTCTGACTCAAACAAGTGAGGAAATATTATTATCAGCTAACATTGCAACTAAAAGTAAAGTAATATTATAAATAAATGAGCAATACTCACGTCAGTGTGTTGAGTCGACAGTGTTTATCCTGCAGTAGAGCAGCGATCTGATTCACTCGTGTGTTTCCTAGTTCATGTCCTCTCAGATTCAGCTTTCTCTGGAGTAACGGGTTTTCACCCACAGCTCTATTCACATACTGACAGGCTTCCTCTGCAGCAGGACTCAAAAACCTGCAGAACAGTCAATTCAGCTCTCAAATAAATGTCTGTTGCATTACAAAAAAGATTGATACAATACATTTTTTTATTTTTCTTTGAACACTAAAATACACAAATGAATATACATTTTAAAGAAACTAGAGCGACATCAGTCCTAAAGCAAACTCATAAGAATAGAAACGTCTCTCGAGCAGAGGGGCAAAAGCTCACTAGATCATGGTTTTCAGTGTGAACACAGAGTGTGAAATTAAGATCTTTCTGGCTTTTAAGCAGGAGAAGTGAGAAATGTCAGCACAGAGAAAACTGGCTTGTAAAACTGCATGTTTGTGAACATCTGGAGACTCATAGACCTGCTACAGAGAGATGCAGTGAATCTGGGCTTGATGGAAAACAACTGTGTTCAGAAAACTATTTCACTAAAAGGTTATCTAGAATTTTGATGAGAAGTGTGCACAAAAATAAAATTGTGCATTTCAATTATCAAGGTATACTCCAGAATAGCAGCACATACAGAAGGTACTCTACCAGAATGCTTATTACCGCCGCGTAATAAACCAGTGGCATTTCAAAGTCGTTCGCGAAATGACCGCCAGGTGGAGCAAAGGGACATTTAGCAAAACAGCAGCAATTGCCGCATTTTGAAACTAAGTGGGGCTAATGTCAATTAACAGTAAGGATGAAACACTACAACTATGGTAATTTCCAAATAAGCCAACAACAAACATGACAAATCAAAACAAGAGCTATTGACATTTGCTGTACAATAATTAAACAAACAAAGATTTGGTGGAGTTGAAACTGCATGTTTAAGTAATAATTGTATTATTAATTAAAGAAAGACAATTTGGTTAATGTTATTTAATCAAACGATCATACAATTTATAGTTGACATAGTATACATATAGTATACATATAGACTTTTATTTGTACGAACAGTGAACTTTTATATAACTATTATATAACAAACGAAACAGAATATAACAAACTTTTATAACAGAAAAAAATAATACAACTTTTTTTAAATAGCCTATAGGCTACAACAGATTTGGTTAAATTGAACGAAAGCAAAACGTAATTATGTAAAAGTAAATTTTAAACAGATTATAACAAACTTTTAGAGCAGAACATTTTATGAATCAAAAGTTAAAATAGGCCTATCTCGCAGTCAGTGAAAATAAATGAGGTGCAATGATGCTAACAGGGGCGAGTGGGACCAAAAAATCTACCGGCCCTCGTGGGGGGTTGATTTGTTTAAATATAATATTTTAATATCTAATTTGCTGGGTTTAAGCTGGGTTTAATAATTTGCTGGGTTTCATTTTGTTCCTCTGTATTCTGTAGCAAATTCTGAAAAGGCATTTGTAAGCTATAATTCATGCTGTGTACTGTATCTTAACTTGAGAAGCCAGAACCCCTTTTACATTTAATAGAAAACATAATGAACCACTTATATTACGTAAAAATGTATAAAAATGTGGGTACATTTGCAATGCTAATAATATGCATCATTACAGTCTGTAAATATCTCTTAACAACACAATGCAATCACTAGTAAGACTTCCTGTTAATAAAGTATCTGGGAAGAATCTATTCTATATTAACAATGCATTAAATCACATTACACATTAATAAACCACAATAAATAAAACAAATTAAGTGATGTCTCGCGCGCGATGGCTTGTATTGCGTGCAGAGGAGATGTCATGCTTCAGTTGTGCGCTCGGTTATTATTGCCATTGATTTGCCACCATAAAAGCTGGCCTAAACCGAAATAGCGTTTTAATTCTTTAGTCATTGAAATAATTTTGATAAACTTTTATGACAGAAATATTACTACATGTAGCCTAAATGATTTAATTCCTTCATTATCAACACTTTAATATCAACTCTTTGTCTCAGACGCTCCTCAGAGAGCCTGTGGGGGGTTGGAGGGAGAGTTCAGTGCTTATGGTGGGGGTGCAGCACAAGCTGTTAATCGCTTCTCTTTCATATGGAGAGTGTTGGATAGCCAGCCTGATGATACACTTTTATATTAAAGAGCAGGCAAAGTTCCTTTCAGGATAAATCTGGCGGTGTGTACAAATGTAGACCCTATATCTTATTAAATTAGCTGTATTTAAAGGTTTTCTTTTTTTTTAAGTGTTCAATCCAGTTGTTTCAACTGGTTTGTAGAGTTGTAGAATGTTTGAGCAGTGTGTATGATGGTCAACAATATGGCATTAACTGTTGAACTGTTGACGAAACGCGTTCATGCCAACTAAACGAATGTGAGTGAGCAGCAGACAGAGCTCTTTTATTCACGATCGAGCAACCTCGTTTTATTGTAGGGTGAATTCAACAAGGCATTCTGTTTCTTTTAAGCAACAAATGCT